CACGCTGATGATCGAAGAGATGTTTATTTTGAGTTTGAGAAACTTCTTCTGCGCGAAAATGCTAGAACCAATCTCAAAAGAGCCAAAAATTCATGCGGGCACAGTCATTGTTGAGTCAGAATCATCTCTTTTTTCAAGTTCCTACTTTCCTTTGGTTCTCTTGAGCTAGAGAATGTTTTAGAAAGAGTGATTTCATTCATTTTATTGCAAAAAACTATTCTTTCAAAAAAACACAAGTGAAACACAAAAGAAATTACTCTTCTTCCTCTTCATTCTCCGATTCAGTATTTTTATCCATTAAGTATGGTTCTATATTACGGCTCTCTCCGAATTTATCTAATATCTTTGCAATTCTTTCATTAACATTGAAGAGTGGAATCAATGGGCCGTTTTCCTCGTTTTCAACAAAATTTATTACACTAAACACAAAAAAGTTTAACTTCTTTAGTGAACGGATGTCCGGAAGGCATGATCGACAAAATTATTATTCAAACAAAACGGTAAATGACAGAGTTAGAAAGTGACTGTTAGATGTGATACATTGAACGAGAGTAAGAAATATAACAGCTGAGAGACACATGCGGCTTTTTCTTCTTTCCTTCATATATTATATATACATATGAATGTAAGTACGAAATGAGTAAGTGGAAATGTTCATTGCACAAAAACGGGACAGCTGATTCTCAGATGGTTATTTGTTCAACGAATTATGGTACCGAACTCACATTGCTTCAAATAACGTCTATCACAGCCAACAGATTAGTAAAGGAAAGTAGGAACTTGAAAAAAGAGATGATTTTGACTCAACAATGACTGTGCCCGCATGAATTTTTGGCTCTTTTGAGATTGGTTCTAGCATTTTCGCGCAGAAGAAGTTTCTCAAACTCAAAATAAACATCTCTTCGATCATCAGCGTGATCGATAACCTGTGTCTCAAGTCTTTTTTCTTTCTCCTCGCGCAAAGTTTTCCTTGCAGGTCTGTTCTCGAAAATCCCCTTTATTTCGGGAACTTTAAGTGCTGGAAACTTAACTCTTGCGTAGTTAGGAAGAGGAATATCCATAGGTATATATTAGGTATATATTTTTTCGGAAAACTGACTCGTTTTGCGACTTTCCTTAGCGAGATTTTCCATAGAAAATCTTTTCGGAAAATCTTCTTTTAATGTAGATTTGTCTTCCATGATCTTCTCTATTTATTGCTGAAAACCGCAGGTCTCTATCGCTTCCACTTCAAAAATTATAACCGATCTACCCACGCGCATTTTATTTTCAAAAAGACAATAGACAGTTTTGGCTATCTTTTGCTGAAAAAAGCATCTGTGTTGAACTTGAGCTACCAGAAAAATAAAAGTAGTTTCTGAGCTAACAATTTTTCCCTAAAAGTATGTCAGTTTAATGAATGAATGCTTCATATTCCCCCAAGCTTTATAAGCACGATGAGATTTTGTCCAAATGCTTGTCTACATAACCCAGATCGTGTCGAATTGCGTCAGCTGTCTCGGATTTCGCTGCAGATTTTCAAAAAAATCTTTGGCTTCTCAGGTTAAATCTATTTTTCTTAGCTCAGGTACACTTTTAAGAAAAAATAAGATCAAATTTGGAATCAGCGCGACGAGTTGCATCGGATCATTTATAACACAATAAGTCTTGAATCGAGTGACTGTTCATCGAAATTTTTCCCGTGAGCAACATTGATTTTTCGAAAAAAATGATTTTTTCTTGAGAAGCATCAGAGACGACTAAGAAGTGATAAATTATCACTGATAATTATTCATGAAAAAATAATTTACGAGCAAAAAGTTGTTATATCCGCGTGATATTAGTAATAAATACGTTATATCCTTACAGACAACGTTTCTCGTTGTCAAAAATATCATAGACAGTAAAGACTACTATCATAAAGAACTAGAAACAATTTTTCAGGAACATGAACGGTAATTACCATTGCTATGCATTGTATTGTATTTAACAATCGAATACTTTTTGTATAATAATGCTCAATGGTGTCTATTGATATCATTATTCCACCTGACTTGCTTCTTCTAAATCAGCCATAAGAGAATAATAAATTATATATAACTTTCTGATTGACATGTTTTACTGTTTTATGTTTTCTACTAAAGAAAGCTAACGAATGTCAGTTGAATACTCATTTATTTTCATCACACGACTATTCTGTCAAACGATTCTTCCATGAATGTGTATTCGTCTGAAAAAGAGATTTAACTTAGGGCTTATTGTTAGAAAAAAAGGTTGCACACTGTGCATCAAAATAATGATTCATGGATCAATAATAATACTACGTTCTAATACGTAGCGTATATTTTAACTTAGAGAGTGTACTTGTGCCCAAGTACTTGCGACAAGTACTCCGCTTGCGCAATGAAATCGATACTTTTCGTTTTTCCAGAAGTAAATTTACTTGTAAGTACTTGTTCAGCGTGCAAGTGCTTGATTTTTCACTTGATTTTTCACTTGATAAGCACTTGTTCAAGCGCTTATCAAGTAAAATTGCAAGTACTTGGATTGTTTTCAAGGTAATACTATTCGAGTGTTTCTCTGTTGTCGCTTAATATTCACTTTGTGAACTTACATTATTCTATGCTGAAGTTAACAAAGGAAACATGTTGTCCGAAGCATAGGTATAGTATTCATGTAAATAGATAGTGGCGAGCGAACCTAACCTGTCTCATTCAAGCAACTGCTGATTTTAACCCTATTTTTGGTTAAAAAAAGAGTGTTTGTAAGTAGTAAATAAGTAAAATTGACTTCTCAGACAAAAAGAGATTGTAAACAAAAGAGTGAGATACAGCTTAACAAATTAAAACAAGAGATAAAACAATAAAATAAATTTTTATAATAATATTATATGCGCATGAAGAAAATGTTGGAATGTCAAAATTTTTTCTTTTTCACTCTTTCTTTATATAGAAATCGTTACATAAGAGGTCACCGACGTTAAGCTAAATTGTTTGTTGTTTTTTGAAATATGAAGTGTTCAATTAACTCTTTTTAAAAAACTCTTTTGATCTTTCGCTCAAACTGTAAAATCCTTCGCTACTTGAAAAACCAAAAACGATGTTTTCCTAAACCAAATGCGTTTAGAAAAAAAAACATTTTTTCCTGAAAAACTTGATGTTTCTCCACAAGAACTTCATCTCTTTTCCGCAAAAACTCTGTCGCAAAAAAATATTCTTGCGGAGAAACATCGACTATTTCAGAAAAGGAGGTGTAGTTCTGCCGGAGAAACATCGACTAGCTTTTTGGTCAAACAGAAAAAAACATTTTGGTTTTTAAATACGCTTTTTTCGGTTTAGGGTGATAAAAAAGCCCTTACTTGCTTGCCAAGGACTTTCACAAAGTACTTCTTAGCAATAAAGCAAGCATTTTATCATTAAGAAGTACTTATGAAAGTACATGGCTAGTGAGAGATTTTGAAAACACTCGTCAATTTTTCTGCTAAGTACTTCCTAAATATTTGTAAACCCAATAAACAACGGCTATCAATACCAGGACTTCCAGCCCTGAAACAACTTAATGCGCGCTCGCCCCCCCCCGGGCGAAAGCGCGAATAAAGTATTTTCAAGACTGAAAGTCATGTTATTCATAGCAGTTTTATGTTCGATTTACAAATACTTATTTCCAACTGCTCTACCAACAAATTTCATACTTCCTAAATACTTAGCAAGTACATAGCAAGTAATCAAGTACGTTCTCTAGGGTACATATGTTTGTGTATGTAAAAGGAGAACAGTTCTCATAATATCTTGCCAATGAGGACAAGGAGCGGACATTCTATTCGTCAAGCTAAATGTCTCTTCACGATGAGCAACTACGAGATCTTTCTGGACAGATTTGATGTGCACCACACACAACATCGAATATTGTCGAGTTTTCGCATTTACTCTCATTTCTAATCCTTAATAAAAGTAACTATATTGCTTTTTTACACTGCAATGAATGAAGAGGTCATGTACATATAATTATTTTTCTAGAAAAAAGGAAAAAACAGGCACTCATTATATTAGGTTAAAACAGGCGTATTAGGTCATTCTGCTCTTAACTAAACTCCATGTAACCTACCTCTTAAGCATTTCAAACAATACTGTTTTAAATCGTCAAGTTTAAAATATCGTTAGTTAAGTTACTTGAAGTAAATGAATTGAGACAGTGAATCTTATACATCTTATACATCTCTTATCCTGCATATTGTAAAATTAGAGATTCTTCTAACTTATCTCGTTCTGTAATACATCTAAAATTAATTCGTTAGTATATTGTGAAGGGAAAAAATAAGGTTCTGATGAAAAACCTCATATCTGTCCTAAGAACTATTAGTTAGCGTTGATGTCATGGTTTCTCTGCTGTTAGAGAAAATAGTGTTTTTTAAATTTTTTTCTACAACCGCACAATATTTTAAACAGGCATTATAATTTCACACGTACGGATGCAATCAAGCTGTTTTCCACTTGAGAATCATTGGGAACTGCCAACTCCAACGGAAACCGCAAGCATCAGTGAACTAAGGTGGTTTTTGCAGATCGAGACCAACAAAGCGAAAGAAGACTGCACAGCGAAAAAACAATCGTCGAAAATCTAACGGTTTATCAAGTCCCATTTTCTATGATTTTCTTCCTACTTAAGATGATTTGGTTCTCGTTTCTTGTGAAGAACTGGAACCGCGGCTCGGTTTCGCATGAGGAACTGAAACTGCAGTGCTCCTATTTTCGGTTCTTTATCTGGAATTGGAACCACGCTATCGGTTCTGACAATGGAACCAAAACCTTGATTCTCTTATTTCCGGATCTTTATCAGGAACCGGATTCGCGGTTTTTTAGACTGTTCCTTTTTTCGGAACCGAGACTTTTTGACTTGCCTGTCTTTTAACAAGATGAAAACACACCATTCACAAGGCTACAAAAGGATATATTTGCCTGTCATTATTTGAAAGAATCCTTTCGTTTACTATAAAATGAATTCTATTTCGCTTAATTACTACGACCTGAAAAATTATTTTCCAGTTCTAAGGTGAGAGCCGAGAACCGCGGTTCTGTTCTAAGTTCGGAACCGGAACCGTGGTTTCGCTTCAAGAACCGCAACTGAACATCCCTGTTTCCTGCTGATATTCTTCGCGTTTTTATTATCTTACGGTTTCCTTCTACGTTTTTTTCACGCTTTTTTGTGAACAGATTTTTAGTGAACGTTTTTTGTTTTCATAGCAATTGTTACGAAGAAGAATGTACACACGTGCAACGATCTACTGTATCTAATCAGATGAAGTCAGCTCCCAAAATTTATTCTGCCAAGAATTTTTCTGCCACGATTTTCACTTCTTCGAGTATTATCTACCATTTGAATATTTATTTAATATGTCAGTTTTTCTTTATTTACTTGAAACTCACATTTTTTCGCGATTTCTCGCTGTTTTCTTTCGTCATCTGAACTAGAAGTTCTCACCCGATCTTCTATATGAGTTCAGTGCAGAGCTTTAGAGCTGTTCAGATTTCGACATCCATCGAGAAAGGAAACTTTAACAGTTTTGCACGCCTCACTCGTAAAAAGACTGGTTCTTGTCGTCATTCACGCTACACAGTGTGCATTTTTTCATAGGCCTGGCGGGTATTTGCTATAGAAGCAGTCCGAAAGTCTATAAACACTTCTTTTATAGGTTTTCAGATATGCTCTTTTCCATGATGTATTTTACGAAGTTCAAAAAGGCTTTCAGTTGGGTTCTCCAGAGATCAGATCTCTAGAAAATCCACACATTAGTATTCTGGAACTTTATAAAGCATCATTGGAAAGAGCATATCTGAAAACCTATAAAAGAAGTGTTCATAGACTTTCGGACTGCTTCTATAGCAAATGTCAAAGTCCTTAGCCAAAATTGTGACTCTATGCTTCGAGTTTAGCGTTTCGTTAGAGCTAACAAGTTTCTGGTCAGAACAAACTTACTAATCGCTCATCATTCGATGCAGTTTTTTGCGCTGATCCTGTATGTCGTTTTTATTGAATAAAAACACTTCTGCGGCGAGAAAAATGGAAAATATCTTCAAAAACTAGTGGCTTTTGGAAAACCTACAACTGGGTACAGGAAACTTTTTGCTAACTGTGTGCATACATCCTATATAGCTCAACATTTTCTCAAAGTTTCATCTAAATTGGAGTTTCGCTTTTCTTCGCGCATGTACTTTACTGAATGCCTCTTTCTGAATACCTCTTTGGAAACTCGCTAATAAAATGTACAATAACTCTTTTCCGTCGTAAAAACTCCTAAACTAGAAATCTTTTTAACAATCGACAGAGGACTTGACAAAGATTAAGAATATATATTTGTTTGTTTGCCGCTTACCTTACTTTTGCGTTTAATTCAGTTTTCCGACAGTGCCTCTTTTTTTAGCGTAATTTTTGTCTATATGATTTTCCCAACATAAGTATGCCCTAAGAAAAAATTTTTTCATCATCGAATAGAGCGTGGTTCAAAGTATATAAATCACTATTTGAATCATCGAAAAGCGCACTTTCAGTTTTTCACCAAAAGTCCGCCTGAATGCACATTGTGCGCAAGTGACTAAGTTCTATGAGAGCAACTGAGATTATTCTTGATAATTCCTTTTCTATATTAACTATGGTTTCCTAAAATTTCAAAAGGTCAGCGGTAAAGAATATTTTTCTTTCGAGAAGTGGAAATATTCTCGATAAATTCAATTTATTTAATTATCATTATTTTACAATTTTTTGTTTCCGTCATTAGGTTATGGCCATCGAACATTGTTAACATCACGTGGGAAAATTTTTTGTATATTCTATGCCATATTGGGTATTCCCATGTCATTGATTATGTTTCAATCAGCTGGTGAACGTTTAAATTCTATATTGACTTATGTTTTAACAAGGCTAAAACGTTTGTTTAATAAGAAGTCAACAAAAATTACCGATGGCGAATTACTCGTTGCTGAAACGCTATTATCAGTTATTACGCTTTTGATTGGAGCATTCGTATTTTCAAGATATGAGGATTGGACATTTTTTGACTCGTTCTATTATGGTTTCATTACATTAACAACAATTGGATTTGGAGACTTTGTTGTAATGGTAAGTGAAAAAAAATCAACTCTTCTCTCTTTTAAGTTATATAGTTTTTCTTTTCTAGCAAAAAGATCGTGATGGTAAATTTTGGTCTAAAGTTGAATATTTTATTTTTTGTATGACATTCATTTTTTTCGGTTTAACTCTTTTGGCATCGTCCATGAATTTACTCGTATTACGTTTAGTCGCATTTTACAGTGAAGAACGATTACTCGAACGTATTCGACAAGAAGAACAAGCGAGACAAGCTGTTCTTCTCAAAGGTGATGTTATTTGTAGTGCAAATAAAGGTGGACCAGATGGAAGTGCGTCTGGTAAACAAGATCAAAGAGAACAACCAGAGACACTTTATGATAGTAGAACGTCAGTATGTTCTTGTACGTGTTTCGATACTTATTACGAAAGACGACATAAAATAAAAAAACGTCAGAAACGATCAAAAAATACCAAACATCACAATGGTGGTATGAAACTAATGAAATCGTCCGATTCAACATCGTCAATAAGATTTATTGTACAATCACGGAGAAGTTCAGTGTGATTAAACTTGTATATATCTATAGTTTTTATAAATAAATGAATCTAATTTTCAATCATTAGTTATAGTACAGAACACATTAGGAAGTCATCGCTGTGTGCTAAATTATGTCATAAAGACACTGTAGAATCATTAATCGATTTTGTTCACAAATTTGTCTACTGGAAAGAATATTTTTCTAAATTGACAAGAGATGTCAGACGGTAAATGCCAAGAAAAAATGGGAATCGAGAGTGGTAGAAAAACGAATTGTTAAGTAGAAAACCTATGAGAGAAAGCGTGAGCTTAGAGCCAGTGATAATCATGAGGTGAAATATGTGAATGTTAAAAGCATAGAGAATACTCTTAGCAGTAATAAGTGTGAACTCGTAAAAGAAAAACAACATGAAAAAACATAGAAATTGATATGCATAGAAGAGAATACAAAAGAAAAATCGTGAGCAAAGAACAAACTCATCACGAGGTCGGGTTCTACTTACTGTCCGAAAAAGAAACCTCTCGTCGTGAAACCTTTGGAGTTTTTTTTCTCAAGCGCATGCGATGTGTAGATATCAAGATTCGTTCCCATACGCATTAGATTCTTGCATGGGGCAAGAATCACTTACGAGGGAACCGCACGTTTTGCCCAACTCCGATTTCCTTCATTCATACCTCGTTTTATAGAGTACATCGAGCTGGTAAAAAGCCTAAAAGGATTTTAGCCCATGGCTCTTGAAGTCTCGATTTTCTGCAAAACCAGTTTTTGAGAAATTCTAAAAAATAATCAAAACCTTTCATAATGAGGCATAATTATAGCCCGCAATGTGCGTGC